TGTGTGTGTGTGTGTGTCGGTCTTGCAAATGAGACTAATTTTTTTTAAAAACAACAACAACAACATTTGAACAATTTTGTATCACAGTTGGTCGTTACCAAAACACAGTATACCCTGACTGAGTCAACGTGCTTGGCGTCAGAATAATATAGGCATCATTCATGTAATATTATTATGATAAAACACTTACGGGGACATTGGAATATTGGAGACGGAACTGACAAATGAAGTAGATAGCAGAACAGAGATGACAAATGGAAAGACACGAGGAAGACAAAAGTAGTAAAACAGACAAATGGAACAGACATGTGACACAGTCAAGAAACACAGACAAATGGAACAGACATGTGACACAGTCAAGAAACACAGATAAATGGAACAAAATGACGTTTCCTTTTTTAAAAAAAACAGAAGTTGACTATTCAAGGGCTCAGTCGAGTGATAAATGAACGAGTGGCTGCAAAGAGTTGCTGGCATCATGAGGGACAAGTAATTCAACAGTTGTCAGCACTAGCAAATGGCGTGCAGGAAGCTCAGTTGACATCATACTGGGCTATAGAGCAGATGAAATTGTAGCATGCTGCGAGCACACAGGGTTGACTAACAACCTGTGAAGTAAGATGTCTATGTTTAATGATAATTATAAAGGATTTTTTAAAAATCTGATTAAAATACTGGCGAATTGCCTTGGCAGTCTTTGTTCAAGCCGTGAGTTGAAAAGTATTTTTTAAATGCTATCTAAAACAAAAATGGTACACTTAATGACGGTAATAGAACAACCATTTTCAGAAAAATATTGAACAAAAATGTTCAGAAAAACTGAATAACAATAATAATTCAGCAAAGTCGAACAAAGTGCTGGGAAAAATCGAACCGCTATGTCCAGAAAAATCGAACAAAGAATGTTTAAAAAATACTAAATTTCATTCTTTGTACAGGCCTCAAGAAAAGACTAGCGCTATCTCTGCTCGCTGTGGGCGTCGGCGACAGCACCATGTTGTTGGCTAGCAGAGTTGGGGGTCACTTCCGGAGAACTCGCTTGACCTTTTGACCTCGGCGTGAACCCCACGGAATCTTCCTGTTGTCGTCTGCGTCGGTCGTATTCGTCTGGGTCCTGGAAGATGAGCGGGTATCGTTTCCGAGGCGGGGACTGGCCGGGGACGACTGAAGGGGCGAGAGATGAACATGGCTTAAAGCAAGCTAAATATAGATACTGGGTGCCCAAAAATGAAAAGAAGGCCCACTTTAAAGAACAATAAATCGGTCACTTTTGACAAATTAAAAAAGCAAAACAAAAAAAACCCAACAACATTTAACAAGGAGGACGTCACATTGGTCAATATTAACAAAAGCGTGTTTGTGAGATTTTATTTTTTTGGTAAGAGTTTTACGGCACTTGCAACACAAAGAGGTCATTCATATAAGTGCCAAAGATTAGATATGTCACAAGGGAGCAAGGCCGCAACCATATTAACGCCCCACACGGACGGTCAGACCAGACCGTCTTCGGGCACAAAAGAATGCGCACCGGCTTTATAGTAATGGAAGGTAACAAAAAATGGTTTCGGCTACCATACTGACGCCCGACGTCCTGTGCCGTCCCCAATCAGACCGTCTCCGATAAAACATGTTCTATCGAAGACGGTCCGTCGGGCGAGATGGGAGGTAATTTTAATGATTTATCTCTGCATAGTTGTGTCCCCTTTCCCGACTCAATGCAACAACACAGAATTCTAGCAGTTCTTGGTCAGCTCTGCATATCTCTAGCAGTTCATTGAAACTGCTGTGTTTCATGCGATAGTATTGTTGGAATTTTTCACTATCTTAAAAACAACTGCGGAAAAAATGATGAAATTCACATAGTGTATCACACTTTCTTTGGATGGGATGAACTGAAACTCTTCTTGTCTTGGTTTTCCTTTTTTGTCTGCGTCTCTAAAGCAACCACAACAATTGTCTTCTTCTACCACATGCCATATTTGCAAGACGGCGGTGTCTGACCGCCAAACTCCGGTGTAAATATGGTCGGCCGCACCCGACAGAAAACGGCGGGTCTGGTCTGACTGTTGGTGTCGGGCGTTAATATGGTTCTACCCTAACAAACAAAACAAGAAGGAGGGGAGACAAAGACAATAGACGTATGATAGGAAAGAAGGAACAAACCACACCAGAGCACCCGCCTCTGCTGCACTGATGTAGGCCCCTACTGTTGTGTAAAATGTAGATCTGATGTAATTTCGTATTCAATATTATCCTTGTTATTGTGAGTTAAAATTTTCCCTTGGAGACCAATGCAAGTAGTACAGTACTTTTGAATTGCATAGTGCTGTACTGAAAGTAAATCCTGAACAAGCCAGATCAAAGTATTGTGTGTGTGTGTGTGTGTGTGTGTGTGTGTGTGTGTGTGTGTGTGTGTGTG